ATGGATGGATGGATGGATGGATGGATGGATGGATGGATGGATGGATGGATGGATAGCAAAAGAACTCAACTGACCTCTCTAGATGAGATCTTGCCTTCCAGAGGCAGTGATCCTTTCCTTTAAGCTGCAGGCAGCTCAGAATGAGATAATTCAGAAGCTGTCACTAGATCAAAGAAGACCTTGCTAATTAGACTGTCAAATTTAGGGATTCTGCTTAGGTACTTATCTAGGAGCTAAGGTCATGTAACAGGGTTTAAACTCCACCTGGTATTTCTATGACCTTGACAGTTGYAGAAGCTCAAAGCAGGTGACATAAAACATTAAATATCAAAGGCTGTGGCACTGGGGTATTTTGTTTGCACTGTGTAGGGAGAAATCAGCGCAAGAGAGCAGAAATACATTGGTGTAACTTTGGAAGATAGAAAATTCTCTTGCAGACACCAAATTGAATGAAAATATATTTAAGATTTTATCGGGTCTTTAATGGTCCTCTCTTTGCCAAGAAACACGGCTTGGTTAAAATCTTTTAATGAGGTACACTAACAAAATTCAGCATTTACTTGTAAGTAGTACAAGGCTCATCATAATGATAAACATATGTGCAAACCAAAAAGCCTTTGAAGAATGCATAATAGAGATTTCTGGTCCTCACTTTTTCTTTTTTTTTAATTTAATCCTCTTTGTTTATTCAGTTGTACTGACAGCTTTTCCTTTCCATACAGAGAATTGTTCCAAGTCTTTCTTCTACTGTAAATTATACTGATCCTACATTAGAGCCTGTAGTAACTGAAAATTCAGTCATACGACAGAAGATCATAGATTCACAGTTCAAATGCTATGAGAGGATGAACAGAGCTCCTCCATACAAGAAAAAAGGTAAAAAAAGATTTTTTAAAAATCTGGTTTTTGCCATGTGTTATRTAACTATAAAGAAAAGTTTTCGTCTCTATACTTATCCATAGTCTTCCTCAGGGTGCCGTTTCCTTCCCACAAGAAGTAATCAAATTCACACTTACTTAGCATCCTCCTAAGTGCARAGAAAGAAAAAAGCCTGGAAGGAGCCCAGGGAATTAAAAGCTCTTTCTTCYTCTGTCATCTACATTTCTGGCTCAGTGTTTTGCTGCTTGAATCTCTCTTGTTCTTGCTTCAGGAATATCATTTTCCTGAACCTCTCAGTGAGGTGACACCTGATTGTGAGTGGGGACGTCTCAAATATAAGTGTTGTTCTGTTTGCTCCACTCACTGTTCAATTTTTTGCCATTTGTGAATTCACTGCTGACTGTCATGTTCTGTACCAACACAAGTTCCATGTGTTCTTTATTCAGCAGCAACAATAGGAAAAAGAGGTTTATGAAACACTGAGCACTTGTCTTTACAGAATAGGAGGCAGTTATGAAGAATGCTGAAAAGAGAAATGACAAATAATGGTGGTGCTGCAATTGCATAATATAAAGCAACATTTCTTTTTGGGACTGAATGTTCTGGTCATTTTTTTCTCACAGAAGATATGAAAGAAGGTATGAGGAGCTAGAGAAAAAAAATATCACAGGTAGTGTGAGACTAGTGCAAGTAAACAACAGATACTGAGGACACAATTTAAAGGGAAAATATTTTTTTTTTAGTTAACAAAAACACCCAACCTAATTGAGGTGTTGGTGATAATATGGGATTTTTTTGTAATACAAGAACAAAGATATTCCTAAAGCTCTTTATCTTAAAAATTTTACTGGACTCTGTAAGACTCAAAGAAGATTTAGATGTTAAGATAATCAMATCTTGATGCAGAAATATTTGGGAAGGAATATAGAGATTCCCACTGTTTAAAATAGGTTTTAATTCAGATCAACAATGGGGAATACCCACAAACAAGGTTATGGGACAGAAAGAATGATGTTTCAGGCATAAGCAAGCCTTTTAATTGCTGGACTTGTTTAATTGCTGGGGAAGATTACTTGCTGTTTCTTGTTAAATTACTCTTTTAGCCTCCAGCTCTACAAACACCTAATTTTTGCATCTATTGATAGTAACCACTGGATTCACCTTYCTTTTACACTTTGCTTATGTGATAAGTTGCAAAGGGCTTATCCAGCATGAGCTGGGGACTCACATATATCAAGATGTGAATTCCTGGTAGCGTTCTCAGTGGCAGCATTGTGGCAGGAGGACAGCAGGGCAGTCCCTGCATTCCTTCAGCTGGCAGCTCCATTTGAGYGATGCCATTGGGGGCTGTTATTTTCATAGTAACATGTGCTTAATTCATTTATAACTCAAAATGAAGATAGTGGGTAACTGAGGAATGATGCCAGCACCACTGAARTTGCGTTCTGAACTGAAGACATAATAAAATGAGGAGCTCAGGCGCATGGGAACAATGACCACCCTTCCTGAAAAGCACAGTGTGTGTGTATGTGTGTGTAGATGGATGGATGGATTGATGGATGGATAGATAGATAGATAGATAGATAGATAGATAGATAGATAAATATAAATGTGTGCATATCTATATCCTATTAGTTACCTTGGAAGACAAGCCCACAATGTATAGATTGAGCTGCTTGATTATTTTTCTTTATCAGGCCAGGCAAAGGATTTAAACTTTTAAAACTCAAAATTCCCTCCAACTCCATTTGGCACTACTTTTCAAACACAAGCTCAAGTTGCAATCATTTTCTACTCTTCTTTTTCTTACATATTGCAAAAATATTCCTGGAAGTCTTTTAGATACATTTCAAAGCTGTAGAAGAACATGATAATCATCTCATAATAAACACATCAAGCTTTTGGATTCTCTCATGGTTAGTTAAGTGAAAAGTAGCATTAGCACATTGAAGTTGATAACTGAAAAAATGTGTGTGCATAAACTCCTAGCTAATGAAGAAAAAGTATACATAGAAATATAATTTCTGAACAACATTTAATCTGTAAAAAATTAATTTTGAAAATTTTATGTTTTTATTTTTTAATTGACAACTACTTCACTTACACATAGTTATTGGTGCAAATCTGAAAAATTCAGATGTCTTTTTACAGCTTTCTTGCTTCAGTRAGAAAGTTTATCTGTAGGTAGTTTCAAAAGCACTGGAGGTAATTAGCTACCCATATTTTATTAACTTTCAGTTTCCATTAGATGCCTTCTATATGATTCTTTCAAAAACAACCTCCATTTTGATACCTTCTCAGGCCTACAGCAATAAAAACTAAGATGTATCTTCTCATTCTATTTCACCGATCTCTGGTGTTCAGCAAGGCAACACCCTCACAGGGACTTGGTGTTGCCTTTAGCTGGGATGTCCCCACAAATGCTTCCTAACTTTACATTTCAGAAACCTGATTTTCAGACCTACTGAGCAGCAAAAGTGAAACGGAAGGTGGGTGTCTCATAGGTCTTTGGGTACCACTGGTGTACGTGCTTAGAGCTGAGAACAGAAAGAGGATCAGTAAGAGAAATTGGTAGGATTGGACCGTCAGTTCAGTTCAGTTCAGTTCAACAGACTTTAAACATAACTTCCAGTAAAATGAACATCTCTAACATCAGGTCAGCAAAAACAAATAYCTTGTAGCACCTGAATGCCTCTCTCAGTGTAACAACAACGGGGTATATTACAAAAAGAAAATTTGATTGTCTGCAGGCAGCAATATTCCTCAAGATGCTAGAACAGAGTGGTTCAGGAGGGACTTTTGTTGAATTAACTCCTGCAATCCTCTTAAATGTGCAGGTCTGTTCTGCAACCGAACATGGGATGGCTGGTTGTGCTGGGATGACACACCTGCTGGAAGGCTCACTGCTCAGAATTGTCCAGATTATTTTCCRGACTTTGATCCAACTGGTACAGTAATTCTTTATATCATTTTGCCTTTCAAAKAATATCTTCAGAGCATACATGCCATTGAGTGGATGTGTGTAATCCAGTGGCATTTTTGCAGCACTGTGGAATCTCAGAAAGTTTGGTTGAAATTAAARCACATCAAGCTTTTGGATTCTCTAATTTACATATTTTCATTTTAAAAAAATGGTATATGTATTTATATTTATGTAAATATAAGCCATGGATTAATGGAACATAGTTTATGAAATGTTAGCTACTGAATTATAACATCAAAATATTCTTAGCACCTCATTCTAAGTTTTTATAATGAATAAAAAATGCTTATGTGCTTGAAATATGCATCAGTATGATCTTTGTTCCATTTTTATTGGAATATATAATTTTATGGAAGAAGATGTACTGAAAAAATGTGCTTTCAGTCTCTGAATTTCAGTTGTTAGCTKAGTTTTTCAAACAAATACTAGAAGCAGACAGAGAGAAGTAATTGAAGAACATTTAAAAGGAAAAATGAAAAATCAGTGTAAGAATTTCTTAATAGAYATAATGAAATATTAAACACAAGTTTAACTCTGCAAAGAGTACAGTGTGAAGAGAAACACATTTGTGTATTCTATGCTCAGGACATGTTGTTTATAGACAGTGCTTGATGCCACAATGTATTAAATTCCACATAGTCACATGCACCAACTGCACTTAAAATCTATGGAATTAAATATTTGGGAGGGAGGGCACATTAATCTAAAAATTTTCAACTCAAGCTTAAACCCAAAATGTATGTGCCCAGCTGGAAATGAAGGAAGCAGATTATTGCATAGCTGTGAGTTAATTACCCAGCACCATTAGCTAAAACTGTTGATTTTCTTGAGCTTATTGCTTATTTAGAAACTGAGGAGTTTCCAGTTTGGATCAAGCCCCGTATGCGTTTTGCTGAATCCCATTTGCAGCAGCAGCCAGATTTATTTTTATTTCTGTCCTTGATAAATCAAACTGTCGTGATTACAGAATTCACACAGTAAGTGGGGTATTTCCAGTGTCAGACCCAGTCTGAGGGGATTCAAACCTGCATTCAGTCTTTGGTGAAGGAATGTCCCTCTTTCCAGTGGAAGTAGGCATGGAACAGGATGGATTGAAGGAAATCTGTTTGCTCAGGGATTCTGTGCTTGGAAAGTGAGCTCATGTGACAAGGTTTCCTGCTGAAACACCCTGAGACCAACCCCACAAATCTTCACAGCAGTTCACACCCCTGAGGCAGACAATGGGCACCAAATCACAAGGTCTTGTCTTTTGCGCCCTTCTTTGCTTTCTGGGACATAAGACTTGACCTCTTTTCTGTGCAGTGTCACAGTTTTCAGGGAAGAGCCTGCAACAGGAGCACTCGGGGACACAGGGACTGAGAARCTGAGACCCTCAGGTGGAGGATTGCCTTTCACTCAGGTCTCCCTCTCTGCGGATGAGTGCTTCAACATCAGACTATTTGCGCAAAATATTCCCAAAGAGCATTTCAGAAGAATTGGCCAAGCTTGGTTCAGTCCCCAGGCAGAAGTGCCCACGTTCAGGAGAGAAAATGAGGCTCTGGATCCTGAGGCTGCACAAGCCTTTTCCTGTGTCCATGTTAGAAGGGCCTCTGGGATGGAGCCTTYACCTTCTGCTTCAGTCCCCATTTTRTTCATTATATCATTCCTATACAGCAGCTCTTTATGAACAGGAAGATTTACTATAAGACTTTTCCTTCCCCTGCTTCCGTGGTTTTCACAGAAGAAAAAGATATGTGGCACTAACAGTCTTAGTTTACATGTACTCCATGTCATGCTCACCTTGTACCTGCAAAGGTGGGTGTTGGGCAGCCTTGTGATCACAGACATTTCCTCATGGCTAAAGGTCCTCATCCTTCATGAATGGGGGTGATTCAGAGCCACTCTCCCGCTCACTCCCAAGCCTCCTTTTCTCAGCTTTTCCACTTGTCTGTCTCCAGTGACTTGTTCTGAACTAATTGCACTCTTCGAAGTAACGCTTGAAGCCATCCAGGGAGAAGTGTCCCACTCCACTTACTGATGCTTGTTAATGCTGTGGCCTGTGGCTCATACACTGATTGCAAATCACTCCTTCATGTACAGGCTCTTGTCACAGTCTGTCCCACAGTGTGTGCATACTCTGGTTACTCTTTCTGGCAAGATTTAAAAGTTGGAATTTAGGCATTTTTTAGTACTCCTGTTCTCTGTACACAGCCTTAGGAAGAAAAGCCTCCCCCAGTAATTAATTTCCTACTGTTCTCTCCACTGCCCTCTTTAACAACAAWATCTATGGTCTTCTGGCCCCCATATTTTCCTCTGGCACATTTCTCTTCTTGTCAGCACCTCTGACAGCCTCTTTGACTTTATCCTGGTCTGTCAACCCTGTTTTCCTCTTTTGGCAGCACCTCAACATCTCCTGCTTCAACCAGAGCTGCTTTCCTGTTGAGTAACCCAGCTTGTGTTACAGATGTGCCACCAAACCAGTGGGGAGTCAGCCTTTGCTTTACAGGTGACAGGGACTTAATAATGTAGGAGGGAGACAAGAAATAAGGGGGATGTCTACAAGTCTGTCAACTGCTAATGGAAGTGGCTGCCACTTACAGGTGGCCAAAAGCACAGACTGAGCTGTCCTGAGAAGTCTGTCAGGTTTGGTGTCACAAGTCATTTTTTCCTTTGGTAACTTATTCATGTTAAACAAAACACAGCCGGATTTTCTGCTGAGAAACGGAAAATTCATCATAAGGAATAGCAATTTCCCATGATAAAACTGKAGTGACTGTCAGATTTCCCCCCCATTGAGTCTCTGATATTCCACCACTCCAGCATGTATTTTAGGCATGCAAGAAGCCCATGGATTTCTAAAACAAGTATTTCATGTCGTGTTGCTTTGGGCTGCACCAGGATGTGCAGAACCACTGTGTATCAGCTAATTGATGGCTACATCGCCTCATTAAGAGGCCATGTACAGCTTTGAGACCTGAAATAAAATAATGYCTTTCCTCTATATTTTTATGCTTCRATAYRTACATCCTTCATAACTGGAAAAGTAAAACATTATTGYCAGCGTAGCWTCGAATCCTCCTCCCATCTGTATCTGTGGGTGCCAAATACCAGCCTTCTATATCTGATCCCCAACAATATTCAGCATTGATGTCAAGAAGAAATTGCTAGAGTATGTTAGAAAGTAAACAAAGTGAAATCGTGTTCTGAAGAAAAAAAAACACAGGAACAAAGTGAAGGAGAACATACTCAGTGCTCTGTTCATTTTCTGTCTGACAACTTCACAGTTAGCTACCAAGTGTAGTCCCACTTATTTCACTGAACTTAGATCAGTTCTTACTGGATAGGAATCTGTGTTCTCAAAGCAATCTCTTGCAGTGCACATCATGCACAATGTGATAATGCACAAAAACAAATCAATTTGTCTGGAAAACATAACAAGACCTACTGTTTTAATGCCAGTGACAGCAGGAAATTCATTGTCTCATCCACTTCTGGCTGTGAAGCTCTGAGCAGGGCTATTTTATATGCCCCTATTCAGGCAACATGCAATTCTCTTGAATTGGATTTTATATTCTTATTTTAGACAGGTTAATCTTAGGTGTAATCCCTCTGAAATAATTCCAGGTCTCACTGAAATTGGTAAGAGTTTAGTTTTTTAGAAATGTACTGTTTAATGCATGCTGGCARTAGTCTTACTAAGGAAAGAAAATTTATTTTAGATATAATGGCCTYCTAGCAAGGCAGGTTTGCCAGGGGCAACAGAAGGAGCAGAGCGTTGCCCTGTGCCATCTGTGAGCTCTTGGGTTTGTGGCAGGGCAGTGTTTCATTGCCCACCTCACTGTCCCTGTACAGCCCATTTAATCAGGATTGGTTTGGTGCAGTCACATAGCAAGGGAGCCAAAGGTGTAAGATTTTTTTGTGGCAGACACACATTTTCATGTCACTTTCATTCTCTTTGCTCTTTGCAGAAAACAGAGTTTAAGAGCAGAAGGCACCCCACTTTGTGAGCCAAAGTTGCATTTAGCAAAACTACCCCCATTGCTCTGCTTTGTTGGGTTTCTGTCTTTAGCTCCCTTTTGCAAACTATTCCTCACAATTCTTCATGTAGCTCGAGGAGCAGTGCATCATTGCAATGGGATAACTTCTTTCTTCTACCATCTTATAACTCAGCAACAAACAAAAAATTGATGTTGGCTCTTTCAACATGTGCTAGCTACAGAGCTGGTCTAATTGTAAAAAGCCTGATTGATGGAGCTATTACATTGTTCCAGAGATATTAAGGTATTTGTTATATATAAATGACTGAGATGTTTTTTAATGGAAATATGATTCATAAAAGTGCTATTACTGGCACAAACAATACACATGCAAATAATTGCTACTGGTTAATCTTTCAACATGCTTCACTGCTCCCRTGAAACTTCCATTGTGAATGAGATTTCTCTCATCCATTTTCCCCAGACAGCTCCTGAAGTATCTGTCTCTCAGTTAACTGCAGAGATCCTGCACAACTGTCTCTGAATTACGTAACTTTAAGGTTGCTGAAGTCAGGTGAGATCAGTCCAATGTGATGCCACTSTTCTTCCACTTTGAATAATGTGATGCTCAAGTGGTGCCCTATCCAACTTTATAGGATACAGACAGAGCCTAAACATTTGTGTCTACACAGTATTTTTATAATCTCAAAGCCCACACCTTTCCTTGCTACTGTTGTCTTACCCATGCTCGCTCATGTGTATTTCTTCAGGCTTTACCATATTCTCCTGGGTAGCACAAAACACCAACACACACCCRGGTTCATAATCCCCCACCTGACACTGGGCCACCGTAGAATAATTTGMAGTAGAACAGAGGTTGGATTGCAGCTTCCTTTCTGTATAAAAGAAAATATTTAGAAGATATGTTTGAACTATTTGAATCACTRGGATGGACAGTAAAGAGGGTTTATTCCCCAGCTGAGTATTCTCACATCACAGTAAGAAATCCATGGGACATGGACACTTTCAGAGTAGGATGAGCCGTGTTTGCCTGGCTTCAAGGAAAAGTATGAGTGGAAAGGTTTGTCTCTAATTTAGAGAGGCCACATTATACTCTGGCAGAGAGCCTACCTGGGCCCTGGAGCACAGAGATGATGGATGACATTGCCATACATAGTCTGCAGCAGATTAACAAMAGCCATGCACTTTGCAGAGTGTATGGGATAGTCAGTGCAACGTTTGCACACTGTGTTCCATGGTAGCACCACCATTAATCTTTTATCTGTGACTTTTTCCAGCTTTTGATAGCATCTGGCAGTGAGTACAAAGGGAACATTGCTGCACAGGCAGTCTGAGATTATCTCCAAGCTGCAGCAATGGAAGGCTCAAATAATGTGTGCTGTTCCTCTTGGTATTGTTGATGCACGTATTGATTTTTAACAAGTCACTCAAAACAATGATTTGAAGTCCACAATAATTTCAAAAATACACTGTGTTCCGGAGGACTGTCCTTTTTTCTGCAATAGCTCTATTTAAAGTGTATTTCTAGCCAGAGTAAGATAACTCAGTTTACACAATCCTTTCCCATATGAYTGGTTCCTTTCTTTAGGTTGTATAGAGGGAATATGAATCTCCCAAATTAATAGAACCATTAATCATCAGACGAATAAAAGTAAGTGGGAATGTTGACCACAAAAACCAAAAATGTGTATGTTCAAACGGCATTGGGCTCTGTAAAAGTGTATTGACAAAATGCTGATATTCTARGTATAAAGCAAATAAAATTATAGAACTAGAAAAGGCAAAGGAAATTCAAGACAGACTTTTTAGACTATTTTAGAAGTCAGACTTGAGAAACATATTTTTCATAACTGTCTGTGTCACTATCTAAGCAAATATCAAATATTTTAAGTTTATGATCTTACCCTGTCTTTGATACTCGGGCAAACATTCCAGTGACTCCCATGTGGCTAATGCTTGAGGGAAGGCCAAAGGAACTCCTCCAAAACCTGACAGGGGATTAGGAGTGACCGTCTGCTCCTCAGCATCCAGAGTGTCCCCAGCAGGASCGTGAGTGTGACAGGGGGCACGGACACAGCACACATCTGCATCTCCAGGATCCCTCAGAGCTGCTGAGGCCCCACTGTCCCCCAGCACAGGAAAAGGACATGCAGAGGAGCAGAGCCTGGGGAGCCATCCATATGGCAGGGATCTCGGGAAGGGTGCCAGAGCCACCTGTGGTGCAGGAGAGAGCACCGGAGACACCAGTGTAGAGGCCAAAGACAGATTATTCAGACAGAGAACTCTGCAGACATTTTAAATTAAACTGGACGTGTGGGATCAGCACCAAMATGTCAGTGAGGCTGCTTGTCTCTGTGTCTGCATGCTGTGCCGATCCTGAGAGAATGAGCAATGTTCCCACTCTCCATCTCAGGATTCCACCCAAATGGAGGTCGGGCAAGACTCTTCCACCCTCTGCACTGAGAGAGCGCTGGGCTGGGGCTGTTGGCATCTCCAGCACCCCAGCTCTGATTTATACAYCTCTGATGCCCTTTATCTGTGCAGTATTTTTAACTCATTATTTCCCTTGACACCTGAAACCCTGCACACACCCTTCAGGTCTGGCCTCAGCTCCTGAGGTTATTTTCTTTTCCATAAGCAGCTCTCGACAGCTTCTTTAAAAAGATTATTATCACCTAAATGTTACATCTGAATGCAGGTTGAGAAATATACTATAGTGGATTCAGTCAAGCTAAATAACAAATTTACCACCAGCTAAGTCTCAGAAAAAAAACCAAAACAACAAACCAGAAATATGTATTACATACATAACCAGAAATATGTAATTACACAGGTTAAAAATCATTTGGTTTTATTATATGGACATTTTATTCCCTAATAAGTAAATCATTTTAGATGGGTTTTTTAATTGCATAATATGCTTATGTTAAATAACTGTTACTGTAATTTATCATCAGAGAGGGCTTCAAAATATTGTGATGAAACTGGAAATTGGTTCCGCCATCCTGAGAGCAACCGAACATGGTCCAACTACACCCTGTGCAACTCTTTCACCTCTGAAAAACTGAAGGTATGCTGAAGTTAAAGAGGCAGTGGTTGTTTGGCAATGGTTTAGGGCTGGACTAGCAATAAGACATTTGAGAGAGACCAGAATAGCCCTATCTTTCAGCTTTATTTGTTGCCCAAGATTTAAAAAATATTGTTCTTGTGATCTTATCTTATCCAAGTTATTTGATGTGTGCTCAAACCTAAATATAGGTTTGCTATGAGGTGGATAATTTAGTGGTTATTCATGTGACAAGTTTTACAGTATTTTTCAAATGCCTTTTTAATTCCTATGATTTTCCCTGATTGACCAACAGTTATAAAACAATCTTCTAGAGTCTTAATTTTGATTTCTGTAATAATAATATACCAAGATGTTGATAGCTTCTCTGCAGGGTTGGTAATATTAATGTAAGTTTAAATTACTTTTCTAAAGGAAAGAGTATCATCCTGTACTCACATGCTTTGAAAATAAATATTTATGAAGGTACCATTAATCCAGAAAATCTTACAAGCRTGAACACATTTAACTTTGAGTTTCACTGAAGTAACTGAGACTACTTACAATAATGAATTAAGCACTTGCATCAATATTCCAAAATCAAGTAGCTAAACTGAAAGAGAAAAACTAAATATAAAAGTACCAAAAGAAATAAGGAGAGACAAACCTGAGAAAAGCTAAAAAAAATTGTTAGGGAAGCTCATAAAAAATAAATGTATCTCTCAAATGCAAGTGGAGCTCCAGGAAAATCTGATTACAGATTTGTGACAGAATAATTTGTGACTATTTGGAATAGTGGAAGGAAAAGATTCAAGAAGTGATTTGATTTGGGGCTTGTGTTGGAGGACCTTTTTTTATGCAGCCAAAAAGCAGTATGAAGTTATATTTAGTAGTAATCCAGCCCAACGGGCCTTGGAAAAGTCTACTGGACTAGGCAGGAGGTGAATTCTAAAGGTTTTTGCAGCATGAGGAGCCATCATGGTAAAATGGGGCTCACCTATGTGACAAGGCAAGAATAACAGTAACAAWATGAGCTTACTGAGGCATTACATGGAAGCACCATAAAAATATAATTTTTCCAGATGTTGGCACATRTAAAGGGGCAAAAAATGTAGCTCTGTTATCTATTATCCATGCCTTCCAGAAGAATTCTGAGCATTGCTCATGCAGAGAACAGATAAAATACAAAAGAAAATTATATGCACATCTTGGTTTGTCTGAAATGAAAAATGATGGAAAATGCAGAAAGAATCCATCTTTACAGAAATGCCAAGTTAGATTATGACCTTTAAACCAAGTCTTCAGTAAACAGAAATGTGCTTCATTTTGCAGACTATTTCCAGTTACCTACACATAATATAATTAACTGAGTCAAAGGTATTGCTCTTAGAGAATTCTCTTTTCTCAAGTGAAGAATTCTAGAGGGACAATGAAGAACATTTAGGTTTTCTAAATCTAGGATGAAAAATTTTAACAAACAAAAAATTTGATGAGTGAGCAAATCATATAAGTCCTATGTGTCAGAAGGACATGACATGTGCCAGTTCAAGGAAATAAGTTAAAGTGTTCATTATTTGTTTGAAGCTAACTGAAAATACCAAAATGCTATACTTTTGAGACAGACCACTTAAAAAAAAAAAAAAAAAAAAAAAAACCAAAAAAAAAAAACAACCAAACAAACAAACAAAAAAACCAAAAAACAGAAAGCTGTTGCCAGTTCTTAAAAATGTAATGGTAGACCATATGCTTTGTTGGCTGACAGTTCAGTCCATTTTGATCTGTCATTATGGTTTTATTACAAAGGYTTTTTTACACATTTGCCATAGTGAGTTTGCATAAAGTAAGCAAAACAGCAATTGCTGAGTCTCAAATATGCAGTTAATTAAGCAGTAAAAAAGCTGAAAGTTATAATCCTCCAGGGAATCCTCCAGCACATAAATCTACATGTAGCTATCTGGAGGCCTTTCCTACTACAATTGTTTCAGGCTATGGGTTGTATAAAAGATAGGCAGAAAAACAGTATTTTTCAATAGTCATTTGTGAATTAAATTCAGGCTTCAAGAAAATGTCTTGAATAAACACTGCAACCATGTAGTATGAAGTGGAAGTGGCACATGTACACAGGTGAAAACCACTCCCACTACTCTGTATTCAAAAAGTTGTCTCATGTTCTCCACACTCAGGTCTGTCCTCTCTGGGATTGCTGGTGCTCTCAGAACAAGTTATCAAGCATTTGTGCTCACTAGCAATGCAGTGGTTAGCCTTTGTGGAGGAAAACTGGGAGTCCAAGGGTATTTGCTGTTAATATGCATAGTTTTCCATAACTTGGTGAATGGTATTTACACTCAGATCATGTCTTCTGTGTGGTCAGATCAGTGTAAATGTGCCTTTGTTTTAAATCTGGATCAGGCCACCACCACCAAGGTAAATGAATGCAGAAGCTGATTTCAAAGTTGTAAAATGTCTGGAGACCAAATTATTTAAGAAGATGTGCATTTTTACTAAGAGGAATGGCTTTGCTTTCTTAATCGTGTTCATATTTGTTCTCAAGTGAAAGTTTAAAATTGCTTGGGAACACCAAAAAGATGKGAGTGTCAAAACTTCAGGCTACAAAAAACAATTCATCTAATCATTGCAAAAAAAGGAAATTGATCATGCGTAGCAAAAGAAAAATGAATTAAGTAGAGCTGAAAAGAAAATAAACCCAGCAGAGGAACTAAGACCTCCAGTGCTTTTGTCAGGACAGGCTGCTACTGTGTCAGTGCCTTCACTGGTGAAGCCTGGCATGACATTCAGCCTCCTGCACTCCTCTGACAGATGGCTGATGCTTAAGAGCTTGGCTGAGACCAAGCTTTAAATTTAAATTCACATTTGTTTAAATACCTCAACACTCTAAAGCTTAGGTGACGTCCTGCAATTTTGTTTTACAGCTGGCATAAAAAATATGGATCACCCTCTATTAGAGCTCACTGGCACGAGTCACAGTGAAASCCCAGTTATCTGCCCATGGGTACTGGATTCACAGCACTGTCATTCACTGAACTGCCCAGGCTCACTCCAAAGTGAACCAGAACGTGTCTCAGGGTGTGCTGTTCCTGTGTGGTGGGAGTTGATCATGTTCACCCCATCTGCTGCTTTCAYGACTTGGAAAGCCTTGGTCAGAAGCCCCCTCTGCCTTCTCCTCTCCAAAGAGGAGAATCCCAGCGTTTGTAGCCACAGAAACTCAGCCTCAGCTATTTTTGTTGCCTTCTTTGCACCTTTCCTTTCTCTGCCATGTCCTTGGGATATGGAGACCAGAAGCTCACGTGCATTTAAAGTTTGTGGTGCAAATTTCAAACAGACATATGTTGATGTTCTACTCTCAGTGCCTTTTTTGATCATAATCAATGTTTTGCTGGCTTTTTGGCTACACAACACAGTAAGCCAATGATTCGGAGAATTGTTCTGGATGACTCCAAGATCTCCTTCCTGAGTTTGGTTTCCAGTTCTGTGTTCAGCACTGATTAGACAAGGATTTAGTTCAGTTGTCCTAGGTCTATCAGCCCACCTTTTTTCTGTATTAAAACTCACATGGCATCGTCTTTTCCCCTCAGTTAAATGAGGTCCTTTGTAAAATGCCTCACTATTATCCGGAAGACCTAAGCATCACCTGAAATTTAGAAGTTTCTCTGCATCAATTAATTGATGAATAAGTTTAACAAAACCTCAGCCCCAATACAAGTCCTGAGGGCAGTTAACTACTGACTCATCTCCGGAAGTGAGTGTTAAGCTTTTGATCCCTGTTGTTCAAGTTGCTTTCAACCCATAAAAGCTTTCTACCAAACCTGAAGCAACCTATTTCATTCAGATTTTTTTTTTTTTTTGCCTAAGTGTGAAAACTTGTCATGAGCGCATTAAAAATCTGAATGTATTACATCAGGTGCACTCTCTTCGAGCTTGGGAAAGTTAGTGACACACAGTGTGAACAGGGACCCCATTCCATACTCAGTGTATCAGGAACAGATTTACACATGTAAGAAACCCTTATCTTTAGACCAAGAATCACAATATTTAATAGATTGCTAGTAATAAAAATACATGTTTGAACGAAAATAATGTTTGAATGAAAAAATACAAAATGGGAGGTTAATGTTGTAGATTCTTCCTTAATGAGAAAACAAACCAAGTGCCTGCAAATTGCTCATGCTATYCTTTTCTTTTTGTTAAATTGCAGATGGCGTTCATACTTTATTATATGGCGATCGTTGGCCATGCTTTGTCTATAACATCCCTGTTGATTTCCTTGGCAATTTTCTTCTATTTCAAGTAAGTTTKTSTTATAGACAYTCTCTSTTCTTTCCCTGAGGCMTCTCAASCAAAGGAAATCTTGGAAGGCATCAYRTCAGTGGGAAGCAGGTCTTCTGRGTGTYTTTTTMTATAGCYCTGATAAAGAAGTGTGAGCACAGGTTCTTCTCACCAGTGGGACCTCTCCCAACAGTGTATAGCCAAGACCATGCTGTTATGGTGTCAGGATTGGTGTGAAAGTGCAGCCCATAGGGAAATGGTAAATGGGGAGGCTACAAGGCCTTTCATTTACCTATTGCCTTAAGCTCTTTGAAGGGCATGTCTAGAATTTACCAGGCACAGAGACTGCATGGGGCAGTGGCTTGGAGCTCCAAGCTCCTGAAATACAGGAACACTTTAATCTGAGGCTGAAGGACTGAGCTATTGACCTGAGCAGGTGYTTGCAGGACTCAGCCCTAGGAGTGAATCTGGCACCGGTGTGCAGACTGCTACCATCACTAGAAAGAAAAATAATGACATGCTGTATTGGAATTTTGAAGGAGATTTAATTGATAGTCATCGAAAGTACTACAACTACTGTATTACAGCTTAACTAGAGCATTTCAATCTTGTTCTTTAGTGAACTTCTCCACTGTCAATTTGATGTCTGTACCTCAACCRTCAAACAGGAAGTGTAGTCAAAAATCAAGTCCCCAACACCATCATCACCAAGAGTAAATCTAGAAAACATAGGAAAATTAAATAGTTGGGCTTTTAGTAGAGTATGAGATTTTGCAAGATTGCAAACTCAAAATAGGTGGGTCCAAAGTACAGGTTGTAAATTCTGGTAATTTCCAAAGAGACAATTCAATGAGTGCCTGTGATAATGTCTTAATCAGAGACAGCTAGAAATTCTACCCAATGAACTGATGAGCTCCCTTCCCATTTAAGTAGATAAATAGCCACAGTTATGCTGTGGCCATAGTAAAGAGTAAACTGGAAAGTAAACTGGCCAGAGTAAACTGGAAAGAGTGCAATTTAACCTGATTTGGAACCCCATACCCTGGCTTGAGTTCTTTGACACAGTAAAGATAGGACCTGGTCAAATGAGCTGCACTAAATGGAGCAGAAAGGTGGCTCCTGGCAGCAAGTGAGGCAGGGCCAGCCTGTGTGACTCACTCTGAGCTCTGAGTCACGGACAATGCACGAGCTTGGCTGGTCCCAGGCTGGCCTGAAATACTGGTCTTTACAGCCTTCTTGACAGCACCTCCTCCTCTATTCCTCCTCCACTCCTCCTTCCCTTTCCATGACTAAACCATGACACAAAGGGTACAGGGAGAAGAGAGAAAGGAATTAAACCAAAGTGCTTCATAATAGGAGCACAAAGAGGAAACCAAACTATAATCACAAGAAAGAGAGAATGAGGCTGTGTGGGAGCAAGGCTCATGTCACCTTCAGCTATTTTCTATCATCTGGCGGTGACAGCAATAGATTATTTGACCTTCAGTAGAAGGGAAACTGTCAATCAGACAGTCAATCAGGTAGCAAGAGATGATTTCAGGACAGTATAATAGCCTTTGACTGTAGAGGCAGCTTGCAGGGATTGCAGTTTCCCATATATAAGTCTTTCCTGTCAGAGATTTATTTTCGGTACAATTTGGGATATCAAGATTCATAGTGATCTGGGATCACAGATGTTGCAGTACTTTCAGAAGGAAGTAATGAATCAGTAATGATGAGCATCACTAAGCAATGCTAACTCATAACAGKAGAGAGTATTCATAAAGTAGAGTGTCTAACAGCTACATGTATCATCACATTATTGCAGTATTTCAATAATTGCAAACTGAGACCCCATTATCTTTAAAAGAAAAGAGGTACTCGTAGCTCCAAATGACTTACAATTGAATTATTAAATCAAAGACATTTGTATAGAGACAGATGGGGAGTACAACTAACCTAGATTTGTCAGAATAATAGATGGCATGTTATGAATGCACCTGCAGCCTAATTGCTGCCAAGGCTTTTTTAAAAAGTTGAAGGGTAATGGATGGAAGGATAATTTGTGACATTTTTGGAGAGTTTTCCCCAGGATTAAGGGAGAACATGGTACAAGGCATGAAAATAATTTGAAAATAAACAAGGGCATAGGACAGGAAAATAAGGAGCTGGGGGTGAAAATCACTATTCTCAGTATTCACTAATGAGAAAAAAATGACAGATTCACATGAAGTTTTATGAGGAATATATAGTAATTTTAATAGAGAAGTGGAGATGGGAACTGTTAAGTAAGGGTGACGACTGTGAGTAGATAAGAGAATCTATCGCTGTCTAAGAAAAAATAGGASATGAACAATGTGAAACACAGAGGAGCCACAGAAAACATAGGAGACTCTAAAAATCTAATGAGACAATGGATAGAGGCTTGGAAACACAAAAAAAACTCACAAATTTTAGACACAGATAACTGGCTGAGTTATGCCTTCTTGCAACTGATTTATCAGAATCACACAGGATCACAGAATATGCTGAGTTGGAAGGGATCCTTAAGGATCGAGTCCAACTCCTGGCCCTGCACAGCACTGTCCCCAAGAGTCACATGTGCCCAAGATTGAAGCAGAKTAGGAAGAATACAGAAAGATGGTGGGGATGATGCCAAGGAACMTTTAAAACATCACAAAGGAATGATCAATAATAGGAAGAGGGCCAGGAAGAGAGCTAAGACAGGTCAGAGATGGACAAGATTGCAAATSATTGACAAAACAAGCAGAAAGGAGGAATCAAGTAAGGATTTGGTTCCACTTTCTCCTCTCAGTGTGGACCAAGTCAGGCAGGAGCTGATGCCATTGTGATGGCACTGAAGGTCAAATTAGAAAGTGAGGGTATGGAAATGAAAGTTCATGCACCCAACCCCATATCTGGTGCTCAATATTTCCCAATAGCTGATGTTGAAGGAAGACTATAAAATCAGGACAAGTGTACAGAGATACTCTTATTCCAAGCCACCAGGATCTGCATCTCTTGGATACCCTGAACCAAAGAACATGTCTTGATAAATAGGGAGGTCAAACACAATGATAAGCATTGCAAGATTCTGATAACTATAACCAGAACCAAGCTAAAGGAAGAATTCCATGCAATGACTCAGAAAGTAGGTGTAAGGAAAACAAAGATTAAATGTCAGGTGACTAAGGAGGTTACCCCAGCAAGACAGCAATATTTCTTAGCTGTTCTTTACCTAGCAGTTTTGTCTTGCTCTCAGTGATCAGTGGCCATCTCAGCACTATCAAACAGCTCCATGACTGCCCTTCTGCCATCACCCTCTGTCACCCGGCCCTGTGCTCTGGGACATGGAGTGCTGCAGGGGGCTTTTCCTCTGCCTCAGGAATGTTTGAGGAGGTGACATGAGGATTTGGGCATGAGCTAGAAAGGGGAGATGGTTCAGGTCTGAAACTGCAGTMATGATTTGGTTTCACAAGAATTCTGAACATTTCTCTGGTAAAATTCCTCTATCCACAACAGCATGAATTCTACCCTCCCCAAAATCAGTCATTTCAAGGGATTTCTGTTCCTTCTGAGCAGGAAAACAACCTCCTGTGGTTTGGGATCTCAACTGGAGTTAGAAATATGCAGGATGGATACCAACCCAAATCCCCCTGTAATTTAAGGAGATTCCTGCCCCAAGTTCCCATCCTGTCTCACTACTAATTACTGAAGTAGGAAATAATTTTCGTCTGAGTATTTGAGAAATTGGGTCTCTGGGGAACAGTTACTTATAAAGCAGTATTCCTGATGTCCATTACTTGTATCATGCATGTCCAATAATTCTCAGGGTTCTGTTTCACCACTTAAATCTCAATTACCATGAAATAAAGAGTCATCGAGAGCTAAGAATGTAGCTGGATGGGTCCTTCACAACATSGTCTAAAAAGCATGTGGTGCTAAACAGGTGTAAAAACAAACCCAAAAATTTTTCAGAGGTTATGGCTGCAATGCAAGGCGTGTATTTTCCAATCACGCCTTGCCAAAAGACATTCTTGAGAGACTGTTGCCAGAAAGAGCTTGTTAAAGTGACATCAGAAGAAAAATACTAATTTACGACATGTGCTACATATTTTTCAGGAGCCTCAGCTGTCAAAGGATAACACTGCATAAGAATTTGTTTTTTTCCTATGTGCTGAACTCCATGTTTACAATTGCTCACCTCATTGTTGTCGTCCCTAACCCGGGCCTTGTAAAAAGGGATCCTGTAAGTATTGCATGACTCCTCTCCATCTTAACACCCAGGTAAAATMACTACAGCCATGCCAAAACCAAGAACTCCCATTCATCAGCTAATGATAGCTGTCTGGGAAAACAAGTAGAGAGGGTGCAGATTCTGAGAATTTCACTCAGCCTTGCTCAGATCTTTCACCAAGCAATAAAAAWCTTTGAATCGTGTACAAGCCCCAGACTTTCTCCAGCCCGCCCATCAACACAACGATGTGTCAAATCCCCACTGCTCCCAGCAATAACATCCTGATGATTCCCAACAAAACCTCTGAGGTGATAGATCCCTTTGGTGCCTATCTGTCCTTCACAAGCACACACACTGGGGAGGGATAGGATGGAAGGAAAGACAGCTTATTATAGCACACAAAAAAAAGTCGATTTGCTGCATTTTTTAACATGGTATATGGTAAATCAAACATTAGTTTCCTTCACTGCTCTTAGTGATACAAATCATGCCAGCCCCTCAGCTGATATATATGTATGGCAGATCTCAGCCATCCAGCTCTGATCTTGCTCCCTAGCCCAGCAATCACATTGTGCTTGGTCCATACAGCAGCCCCAGCCAACGTGAAATTAATGCAAACGTGGTCATCACGAGTTTCATTTTAACACTGATCAGCTTGTAGTCTAATAAGATTGTTCAATTATGATTCAAGCATTTATCTGATTCTAATTTCATGAAAGCAATTAAATATTAGCACCTGATATTATCTCATCRCATGTATGTCTCTCAAATGTGCGCTGATTAAGTAAGTTAATTAAAGCAGAAAATATATAGCCTAAAGAAAACATCACCAATCTCAGGGACCATCTGGAGGTTAAAAAATAGAAGAACAGAAGAATAATTTTTAAATCACACCTTTTGTTTCTCCTCATTGCTAGTATCATACGTAGATAGCCTGTGCAAGAGATGCAATGAAAATGTAGTTGATATTTGAGGATMAACAGCTGGCAGGTAATATCAGTCACCTAAACTAAAGTAAAATCATTACCTCAGGGTTAAAAATTATACTTCCTGGCAGCACAAATATGTTATCTGAAACAGTTTAAACTAAAAGTTGAGGATATGKGAAGGGATCTTGCATTTTAAGATTTGACTTAAAAATTGTATGCAGTGTTTTGGCCTGATCTTTATTTGAAGTGAGATCTCAACGCCARTGAAGTGAATGACAAAGCTTTCAGAGGCACAGAGCAGGAGGCAGCCCACTGAGCATCACCTGATGAAAACCCCARTTGCTATGGCACAGGGAGGGTCAAATGAATGGTTATGATGGAAATGACCCAAGCAGTATCCTGTCCACAAAACTGGCTGCAGCTGCTGGCCCAGCAGATGTTTGGGTGAGCAAAGCCCTTGTTTTGCAATTCCTTCTTCCAAACCAAATTTGCATGTCTTAGACTCAGCACTGAAATGCTGTCTATAGACAAGGTGCAAAACTTGCAGGCAGAAGATCTGGGGTCTCTCATTTTTGTTCTGCCATCAAATATGGGACGAGGGTACACTCACTGCTTGATCTTGCTTCTGCATATTTCCCTTCCAAAAAACCAAAAAGTAATATAAAGGAGGTGAGGTGACCTGCTAGGATGTCCAGTCTCCCAACATTATTAGACAGCATACCTTAGTAACATAATAAATTTATAAATTTGTGATTTGATAAAGAAAATGAACAGACATGAGCACATTTTCAGCTTATGAAGAAATTACAGAAAATCTCTACATGAATACATGAAGACTTAAAGGATTTATGTTAAAAATGTTAAGAAAAATATATAAACATTCCCATAATATTTTTATGCCAGTGCCTATTAACAGAGCAAATGAAAACTTTATGGCTGGGGTTTTTTCTACTCCTACTGCACCTTCTTGTTTTAGTAAGTCCTGCTTTTTTTTTCCTATCTGAAGTTTCACAATAGATTTTAAATATGAAATGCCATAGGAAAATACTTTCARTGATGCATAWTATATTAAGCAAGTTACTGCYTCTGACTTCCTGTAGTTTGCTGTGTTTATCCACTTTCCACATTTGCATCTTTGGGGCTTGACAGGCTCATGTATGCATGGCTGTCACCTGCAGGATATATAGAAATACTGAAGTGTGTAGACTGAATTTCAAGCAATCACAGATACCACTCATGTAASAGCCATATACAGAGATGAAGTTGGTGGTGTTTATTCTACATAAATAATAAATATGTTTCCACCCCAATAGTTCCTGCCTTTTTTCTACATTTTCACAATATATTCTAAACTATGAAATACCAAGGGAAAATACTTTCAGTGATGCATAATTTATGAGGATATCAACAAAATCCATATACTTTTGAAAGAAGAAAAGATGGTCTGTTAAATAACATGGAGAAAAGTCAGGACAAGCAAGAGAGGAAATTCCTTCCTACCACCGAGACACCCCCATTCTCCCTGTGAGCGAGGGAGAAATGGTGTGAGACAATCCAAAGCATCATTTACATGAGGAGAGTCTGTACTGCATCCTTACTCACATTGCTGCTAAGAGTTAAATCCTTTGATGATCATTCTGCTCATGTAAAATGGTAAGTGAAGCCACTTTTTTTGATAATGTTAATTTCCTTATTTACTTCATGTTTTCTGGTTATACAATTTTCTCTCTCTCTGTTTCTCTTTCTGTCGGATTAATCTGGATCTGAAATCATGGAAAAGAAAGATGTGAGTCCAGGCGGCCGTACAAGAAATGAAGAAGCAGCGGACAAGTTTCAAGGACATTCAAACAAAAATAAACAGGACACSTATAAGAACATTTATTTACATATGCTGAAAATATTGACTGTTGTACCTGAACTAGGAACTGCATTAATTATGCTATTACTGGAATGTTTATAGGAAGAGTTATCATCTGTCATCCTCTTAAATGAGTCTGACCCACAGAAAGGTGATTTGTGAACAACACATTATGTTCTCCATTACAACCTCCAGAAACAAATAAAACTCCTGCTGCCAAATGTCTTAATACAGCCTTACACATCAGATCTTTGTTTGTCATTTTCTGTATTCCACAAGACTTGGAACTTTAATACTCAGTACTGATGGTGGTAAAATGAAGATACCACTAATGACTGAAGGGGTAGCTCTGTCAATGGAAACTGAGCAATTAATTAGCTCCATGGGCACCAGTATCATAATGCTTTTAGGTGGGGCTGAGTTTGATCAGAAATTGGTCATGTCTCAGTAATTAGAACCTCTTCCACAAAAGCTTTAAGAGATCTTACTGTATTTTTTTCACTTTCCTGTTCTAGCAGAGATATCTATTCTTTCTGCAGGTTCTTCTGTAGCCTCTTCACTTTTTATGCAGTAGTTTCACTGTTGTTTCTTTCATTGAATGGTGTGAAATTTTATGTTTCAGTTGCAGTTTTTAYAGAGGCCATAGCAGGGGCCAGAGCTGCACTGGTAGTTTTCAGGAGCCTTGTGCAGGGTCTCAGGCTTGGCCATGGTATGTCAGAGAGTAAGGACCCAGCATCCATTCAGGCACACTCCAATCTCACTGTCAAGTCCCATCACATTGTCACACAACTTCTTTAGGCCTTAATGTATAAACAACCTGTACAGCCCCTTATACGGGTTCAGAGCTGATGAGGAAGAACCCAAAGCAATCCCTGTTTAATTACACACAGTGTGATTTTATTTCCTGCTGGCAGCATCTGTAACTAACTCAGCTCTTGAACATGGGAGGTGAGAGGATGGGGGCTGTTCTTTCCTCCTTGTGTAGATGTCAATATGTTTTAAAGATCTCGAGCTAGTTTGCCACTCTAGTTTATGGTGCAATACACGTGTGCCCTGTGTCCCTCGCAGGAGCACATGGTCCCTTTCCCTTCATAAGCATTTTGCTAAGTTTGCTGTCACTGTGGGCATGAAGTGGGATGACAAGGGGCACCTGGTTGTCTGTACTGCCCAAAATCCAGCTCCTGGAAGAAATAGCCCTTCTTACCAGTAAGCTCCTTTCTATTCAGCATTATTAGTTAGACCAAGAGAGCACCAAGTCCGGTGCCCACTAACACTGAAGTTTTTAAAGCAAGGTCATGGTAGTAGCAATACTAAAATATCAAGTTTTCTGGTGGGCACGAGAACACTACAAATAATCTCTCCATTAACAAATTCAAGTGATAACTATGGCTGCCTAATTGTCTTAGGTTTTCCTCCCTATCACAGTTACAGCAAAACAGTAGAAATAAAACATTGAGATATGTGGCCAGATGAGGAGTGTATAAAGAATATTTACTCTGATTTATGGGGTTCCAGTGTTGGTATTCCCCTGTTCCCAAAGGAATAGTCAAGAAAAGAAGACAAGAAAACACATGAGAGTCACTCAGAAACAGTATCAGTTTTGGGAATTTTTTACCATATAAATGTTACCTTCTCATCTCTTCTTTTTTGCATGATTTCAGTTGCTTGCTCTTCATTTAAAGCAGTATCTACTAATAAGTACAGATTTCTCAAAAGTATTGGAGCATCACAAAGGGAGGGRTGACAGCTTTCATGTGGCCCAGCCCAAAGGTTTTCATTTCAAAATAACTCGGACTCTATCAGATCCTGTGGATGGCATTTTGGCAGCGCGATCCCTACATGMAGCCTCTTATTTAGGAACCAGAGCAACATTTCCTCCAGAAATGTATTTCCAGAAAGGACCTTGTAAAACAAAATGCACTGTTGTCCAGAAGCTGAAGGCATCAGATTGTGGGGTTCATTCAAATGTTTTCTGGCTGCACCTTTTCTGCATGGATGAGGAAAACCTGCACTCAAATACCCAGCACAAGTGCAAACTTCAGATTTAAATGTCTCTGTGATAAGCCAGATTTAACCTGTCATTCTGCCTAATCATTATGCATCTGCACTATCTCTGGACCCTGAAGCTCTGCCATTGTGGCAGTAAGAAGTGAGCATTCCCAGCATAGTTGTTCCCAAAATCAGCAGAATCTCAGCATCCCAGTTCTTGCTGTCATCAGCTGCAG